TAAACAACTATAAACTATAAAACACAAACAGGTGTGGTAGAATACGAGTGAGACATTGCTCATTCCCACAGGCCCGTGCCACTTCCTTACCCATACAGAACATTTGATGGTTGCACTGATCAAATATATGCTGTAACATCACATTTGATCTTTGTTTATCTTCCCAACATTTCAGCTGCCATTATCACAGGGGTAAGACCTTCTCAGTGGCCACTTCAACAGGTTGCTCGCTGACGTAGCTCCACCATTACATACAGTATATGCTTCTTGGAGAGTCAGATGCATTTACACCTTTTCAACATCTGACAAACAGGAGCCAGACACTGTAAACATTAGGGGCTTAGCCTAGACCTGTGGGGGGCTTGGGGATATTTTTTGCCCTTTTACAGCAGCTTTATGCACTATTTTTCAGGCCTTTTGAGATAATAGAATGTCTATAAATCTGTACATCATTTTGGGAAAACATGATAGTTGCCCAGGAAATCAATCATCCTGTAGAGCCAACATCCTATTTTGATGAGGTTTACTTCTCATGAACACCTTTATGTCCACAGTCCATAAGATAGTTAACTGGCCAGCTTGCTCACTGCGCTGACATGACCGAATGAATCACAACACACACGATAATGTTAGGATGGACCTATGATAGACAGCGATATTTCCCCAGTAATAAGTTTTGCTCAATTGATCTGCTGGTCAGTCAGAGACTCTGAGGGGAAATGTAAAGTTAATTTAAAAGCCTAAATGATTCTGGGCTTAGTGTCCCACATAGACCTGAGACACTTCAACATGAACCCTGCATCATTAAAAAAGAAGTCAATACTAGGTCTACTGGTAAATGATATGACCATTTGTTGTTTTGTCAATAAAAAGATCCTTCAAAATGATTTCTAAAAAGAGTAGGAACCCTGGAAAACATTCAGGGCCCAAGACCATCTGTATTGCTTCCTGGCTGCATTAAGCCTTGGCTTTATTAAATTGGGTATACACACACTAACAGTAAACTGTAATACTTACTCATTTTGTACTGACATACAGCACTCACACTACCTTGTTTGTTCTACAGGAAACCTTCAACCTGTACTACTACGAGTCGGACAGAGCGGTGGGCTCGGCTATACGGGAGAACCAGTTTAATAAGATTGACACCATCGCTGCTGATGAGAGCTTCACGGGGGTGGACCTGGGGGTCCGCAGGCTTAAACTCAACACTGAGGTATGTGCAACAGCACTAAACAACAGCCCAAATACTGACTGATATAACAGTTAAATGTCAGTCCAGGCTCTTTGAAGCTATATTTCACTTTGGATTGGAAGTCTATTCCAATTCTGGGCACGTACACCTCCACAGGAGTTCAAGACGAGTTGGAAACATCCCCGGCCCTCGAGAGCCTCTTCCAGTCTCGTCTCTCAGGCGGTTCTGTGCTCACTTCTGCAGATCTGTAAAAGAAAACAAACAGCAGGGCTCAGTTCAGTATCATGGGAAATACTTTGATATTGATAACAGCTTCAAATTTGATACTGGGTAGTGGAGCTACTCTTCTATTGATACCTTACATTGTTAGAAAGATGAAGATATGAAAGACATAGTATAATTCATTGTACAGTCTTTCCATTTGCGACACATTAATCCTTACCTTAACAGTTACCTGTGGGAAACACAAAAATTTAAATTAGGTTGTGGTTTTGTTGGCTTTTCCATTCACCCTTTACCCTAATCTTTTGTTCCTACCGTTAGTAGTGCCAACGCGAGACATTCTGACAGTGCTACAAAATATACTGCTTCACAGTGACTGCTGTCTGCATGGCTTCATTTATTAATTCAACTATGGAACATTTAAGTATAAAACAAGTGGGGAACCCTGGTGGCTCATCTGGTGGAGACTGTGTACCATGCACTAGGGCCTATTCCTAACCTCGATGGCCCGGGTTCAATTCGAGCGCGGGGCCCTTTGCTGCATGTCGCCCTCTCTCTCCCGCCTCTCTTCATAGTCTCTCTTCAGTTCATATTGAATTAAGGCAAAAAGCCCTCCAAAATAATTTTTTAAAAATAAATACATTTTAAGAAAGTATAAAACAAGTATGTTTCACCTAATGAATTGTGATTTGGCTGAGATACTATTTGCTACTGTCACAACCTGGAAAAATGCTCAGTAATTTCCTTACAGAGCTGGGCAGTGTAGTTTTAAGCAAATATTACTCAAACGGGAGGAAATAGCTCCTCTTTAGACCAATTTTAGCTGCAGGTTAATGCACATTTGTTGTGCTGGTGAATGTTAAGGTATATATAGGATTGAGTCAAATTAAACTACAGTGTGTGTGTTCATG